CTTCCCCTCTCCCTTTCTTCAAAAAATAGTCTATATTTTCTTCTTTTAGAAAATCATGAAGATAGCTGAAAACCTCAATAATCCTAGATGCCGAATAGCATTGATACCTACACCACCATTGGTTACCCCACCATTGTTTGCTTGCAAAGAAAAATTTTAAAAAATCATTTGTTGTCAACTATTTCCACTAGAAAAGCCTATATCTCATATCAAAGTAACGGTCCCTGCTAATCAAAACCCCAAATCCATAACCGTGATAGTCTTAACACCATTTTACAAATGCTCCATAGAGCCTAGTCTTTCAATATCTAGACTTGGAACATAGAAAACTATGAAATCTCTAAATCCTTCAAATAGGGTACATAAAATATTTCATTGTTAATTTTAACTTTGTTGAAAATTTTCCTTATTAATTGTGTTTGTTGTGTATGATTGTTAAGGATCTTGATCTATCAATTGTTTTGTGCTTTGTGTGTTGTGGATTTGTTGATGATTTAAAAAGGAACAATCCCAATCCAAAAAGGATTTTGATTTAAAAAAAAATTAGTTAAAGGGCATTTGGTTCGCAGAATCTTAGATTCTAAGAGAGAAAGTGATCCTCGAGAAAGTATAGATTCCTAGCAAGGAGTGATTCTATATGTGAATGTTAGATTCCTTTATTTTGTTAGGGAAAAAGTCAAATTACTTAATAAAGTCTTTTAACAATAATGTCCTTCAAACTATGTCAAATACATAGTTTTTGTTAAATATAATAGTAGTGTTTGACTAACAACATTTGAATTCAAAATATAGTTTTTTATATTAAACTAATAAATAAAATAAAATATAGTGATATAAATTATCAAACAAATACTACTTCATTTTTAAAATAGAAATGCTATATTTAATACAAAAAAAATAAAAATAATTACTATGTCGTTTCTAAAAATAAAAAATTCGTAATTAATATGGAAAAAAATAAATTAAATACTATGTCATTTTTTAATATAAAAACATTGTAATTAATATAGAAAAAATTTTAATCAAATACTATGTCGTTTCGAGGTATAGAAACAATGTAATTGATATAGAAAAATTTTAAATCAAATACTATGTTGTTTCTGAATATAGAAATGCCGTAAGAGATATAAAAAATTAAACCAAATACTACATCATTTCTGAATTGATTAAATCCGTAAACTTCAACAAAACCCATACTGCCCAAATTAATTCAATTTTATTTCATCAAAACCCCAAAATCCTAACCGTTCATAGTTGGCATTGCCATTGTTTTGCCATCATTGTCGTCATTGCACAAGTAATGCAAAATAGATCATCCATAACAGATAATAGACTAACCATTTACTGATAAATAGAAGATAAAATGAACATCACGAAGATGAAATCGCAAAGGTTGAAACTGATTTGGATGAAAAAGAAAAGGCTTTGATTAGAGCTCAGTGATGATGTTGAAAAGAGAAAGTGGTCTTTGTTATTTAAAAATGTTATTTAACTTTTTTTAAATGGTTTTTGTTGTCTAAAAAGTTTTTTGATTAACAACTATGACGTTTCTTATGTCAAAAACACAATCTTAAAAGTAAAACGACAAAACACTACACAGGTGATAAATTAATTGTACCATAGCATCTATAATGTTTGTTCATGAAAAATATCATGGTTGCTTGTTTTGTTAATGGTAAATGTTTTTTTTTATAAGCAACTAAGATGTTGGTTGTAGTTGAATGCATTTACAATATTTTCAATGTTTTGTTCATAATAAAAAATTAATCAACAATTAGAGCATTTGATTCCCCACAAACGTCGTATTTGACATTGAAAAAAAATAGTACTCAAATACTATGTTAAGTTTTCAAGAAATGTAATATTTGAGCTATTTGTTTTTCAATATAACATTTGTAAATAAAAAATTATTATTATGTTTCTTTCTATACATTGGTTTTCAAATGGGTAAAATAGAAAGATATAATTTTTTATTCAGGTTAAATATAAAAAATAATAAATTTCCTCCTAAAATCTTAAAAAACTATAAAGAGAGGTAGGTTTTTATTCTATACTTTTAGATACTAATAGAAATCTAATATTAACTCCAAAAATTAGATACTCACGAACTAAATGTGTGAATCACATTCTCATAAGTAAGATTACAAGAAAAAATATCAGATTCTTTCGAACCAAACACCTTTCAAGGAATTTTGTTGATATTCAAGAGCTTCTATCAATGGAATTTTTATTTATTAAAGATTTTCAAAAGGAATTTCAACCCGATCCACCTTCATCTTTCTTCCAAATTTTCAGTTTTTTTTTGTTGATTTTTTATGATTTTTTGAAATCAAGTAAAAGGAAATAAATATAAAAATATAAAGAAAAACAATTGAACAACTATGGATCCTAAATTTATTGGGATCAAATTTGAAATAAAATGTCACCTAGCACTTTGATTTGGATTGGAAGGATTAATCAAGAAATTGGGCTTCGTATCCAAAAATAATATTTTAAATTCGGTTTAATAATATTTTACTATTAACTCAAAGTAACGAAAAATTATAAATCCAAATTATAGTTAACATGTAATGTGTTAACTACAAAATAAATTAGGTTGTCTATATAATTATAGTGTTAATTGGGTTTTGAATTATTATTTCATTTATTTTTTTTTCAATTAATAAGATCCAAGCGTTTAATTTTTTTCAAGATTTTTAAAATTTATGATTTTTTTGTTATTTTATGAGTTTTTTTCTTTTTTTAATTTCCATTAAATAAATATTTTTTAAAAATAAAATAAATAAAAAAGGATAAAAATAAATAATGAAAATGAAAGTATTAAAGTTTAATAAAATTAATTTGTATGAGATTGAATTCCAAGATCAGAAAAAAAATTTAAAGAAATCCAATTAGCAATTTTAATGCCGAATAGTAAATCATGAGAGCGAAAAGTAAATATTACGATGGGATAACAATTTCAAAACCAAAATCAAATCTCAAGGCATAATTGGTTATTCAAAGGCCTACAAACAAGAAGAGTAGTTAGAAATTCGGCTTAACTAATATTTGCTTTAAAATATGAAAAACAAACTCATCTTGAATTAAGTTCTAAAAGGAATTGATAGCTCAAAGTTTTGTATAATTTTTTATACAAAACTTTTTCAATGAATTTTAATATTGTTAGCACTTTTATTGTTAACGACATCTTGTCATTAAGCAATAATAATTATTTTTTAACAATTATTTTGATCATGTTTAAAACATTTAATTATGCGAAATTATTTACAAATGTAAGAAAATTTTTGCAACGACGTTTATTTGTTTTAAACAAAATCATAGAGATTTTTTAACAACAATTTTGAACATTGTATAAAATATTAAGAAAATTTTTTACTTTAACAACAATCACGGTAAATTGTTATGAAAAGTATTCAAAAAAATTAGTTACATAACGATAATGAAAAGTTGTTATAAATATACAGAATTTCATAATTTTTTTTTTTTTACCATTACCAATTTTATAACAATTCGCAACAACAAAAATTGTCATTATCTAAAATAGAAAAAAAAATAATAATTAGTTATAGCTATAAAAGTAATAAAATATTGTTTCAACCAAACTACCAACAAAATTGAACCAACGTAATCACCAACGGAATTTTAAATTCAGAGAATCGAAATTTGCCAATGTGTTTAGATACTAACAACGGAATTACCAACAAAATTTAAGCGCGACAAAAATTTGTTTGTATGGGATTTAAGTCTATAGAAATTTGCGTTAGATATAGATACTACCAAAATTTATGCGTTACCGAAAATCTGTCAGTATGGAATTTGGCAAATTGTTACTTTCAAATACCAATGGAATTTCCATTCTACCGATGGAAATTTTTGCTGCTGTCTACAAACTGAATTAGCAAAGGGTATCACTATTGACACGATCAACTCTATCATTTTTTCCAACAAAAATTTCCATTGTAATTCTAGTTACCAATGGTTCACCAACGGATGTTTCCGTTGTAATAGGCTTGTTTCTCTTGTAGTAGCTCAGTTTCAGTTTTTATTGTCCAAGGTTGGTGTTACAACTGGTTTCACCATCTTCCAAGGGCATATTAAAAGGGACAAGTCATTTTAAAGCAAGTCAAAGAAAGTTGTCTCTATTGATGCCATAAATGAATATTTTTATTGTCTTTGAATTGAATTATATTTCTTATATATCTCTACAAATGGAAAATATATCATATTGCAAGATGCTAACATACTCTCAACATCATCAATGTTCACAAAACTGATAAAGCCATGCCTTTGACCTCAAATATTTCTTTTTTCAAGAATAAAGAGATTAACAACATCACCATATTTTTTGTACAATTCCCAAAATTATTCAACATAGCATAAATCGGGGAAGTTAAAGAAATGAAAATTAGCAGTAATACTTTAAGTCTGTGATGCAATGCACTGCACAAGATGATAATTCTATTTCCTCTGCTGCTGAAAATCTATAAAACATGGGGGTTTCCTTGTTTCCCATAAACATCATGTCCCAGCTAACTATAAATTACCCAAGACAAAGCACATCAGAACCAGAGGGGTTGGCTATAAAGCAGGGAGGGGGAACACGACTAAGGCACTAAGTGGGGATGTGGGTTTTCTAATTTAGAGATGGATTAATGGTTCTTGAATGGAATGGAAAGGGAAGGGAGATGGGAATGAAAGCTAGAGGATGACCAGGGGCCACACGGTGGCGGATCTTTGATTTTGGGCTTGTAGACTTGATGACATCATTAGGTAAATCATAAAATTCCAGATATCATTAGATAAATTACTGGATTATTAAATCCTATCCTTTCAAAATAAAGACATATGGTTCCAAAATCAACTTTCAATAATACAGATCTTCCTATGAAATTTCATCTTTATCTTTAATTACAATCATATTTATCTTTAATTAAAATACAACAATAGATAAATTCAAATATATTAAGCTTTTTTGAACTATTTCACCAAACACTAATATAATAAAATGCTCCTTTAAATCATTTTACATAATTGTAAAAGAAGAACAGTTTGAAGAACAAAGTCTCCCTAGCTCAATCCCACAAAAAAAAAAAAGAAAACAACAACACAATTGCGGAAAGAAGAAGATTTTGAAGAAAATAGTTTATCACACAGAAATCATGAAATACAACACAATAGTTTATCACATAAAATCTTGCATTATTCTTGCCATGAATTAATTTTACCACACGAAATTGAAATACAATGCCTTAAAGGAAGAAAATAGTTTGAGTACTAGAACAAACAAACTGGAGGCTAGAAGGTATCCCACACTCAATCCTTTATTACTCAACAAAGAACTTTATTACTTAATACTTGATGTTGTCCTTGCTATTATCACACTGCAAAAATGAAAACAAAAGGAAAGAAAAAATTTTCATGCAAAAGCAAAAGTAGGCAAAAGCAAATAATAAGCAAAGTTATTATTGAACTGACCGAAGCAATTGAGTGAGCTGAGCAGACTTAGTAAAATCGCTTTCCTCTCTTGCCTTGAGAATTTTAAACATCAGGACAAGACGAAGTTGAGTGTGTGTGCTTTGCTGAATTAGGAGATTAGTTTCCTTCCTAAGTTGCTCGCATTCGTTTTCAATGGCTTCGAATTTCTCTCGAACTTTTCTTTGTCCTTCTTTTATGAATTTTTGCTCTTCACTTGTCTCTTTCATCTTCACTTTTAATTCCATAAGTCTCGTGATCATCTCTTTCCTTCTGATCTTTTCTTGAAAATGTAATTTCATTCTATGTCGACGAGAAACAATATTTGAAATTGATGACTATCCATAGAGTGGGAGAAAAAAAAAATGAAAGAAAACTCATTAATTGCCACAAAATTATTAATGGTCAAGCTTAAAAAGAAATGAAATGAAGAGTTAATGAGATTTGAACAGTCATGGTTGTTTAAAAAAAAATACCACAAAGGAGCAAAAACACTAATACACACTCATGTAAAGTTGGCATAGGTGATCGGAACTCAAAAAATTAGTTTGAATCACTCGATCTAGGATTTAACCAAACTCAACATGACATAATAGAATTTCAATTCATTCAAACTCTTCCAACTTAAAATTCGAAATGATCAAAACCTGAACAAATCAATTTTAAATTGATTTAACTTTAAAAATTAATAATTTTAATAAAAAAAATTGAATCCAAAATAACTTAAGTAGCAAAACCCAAACGATTTGAAGTCAAAATTACCTAAACTCAAAATAACCTTAAATCACCTGATCTGACTGACCCAAATACCCTCTCCACATGTAAGTGAGATTTGAAAAGATGAAATCCTAAACCTCTAATTTGGGCTCAAAGGTCCTCTAGAGTTAGTGTCTTTTACTTAATGGACCATGATTGATTCAATGTGAATCCAGAATGATCCATTAAAAAATCAGCCCATGGGTTGGATCAATGTAACTATTTAATATGTCATACTGACACGATTTGTGGTAAGTAAGAGTATAATTGAGCACGGCATATAATTTATAAATTTTATAGATCATATCATGCCTGGGATGATATTATTTTTTTGTACCGAATCAAGTCAAATATGTCTTATTAATAATTTTCCTAACTTTTTACCATTTTTTCATAAAGTTCTTTTCTTTATTTTTTCAACTATCTTAAAAATGAATATATGAAATTAATATGTAAGGTACATGATTTACATGGTTCAATAAAATATCTATATTTACAAAAAAAACATGTTAAAAGAATTTATGAAAATAATATGTTGAAATTGACAATCACTAATATTTCATCTCTAAATTAAAAAAAAAAAAAAAACACACAAATATCACATTATCATTTGATTTCTCACTTTCATCATTTGATGATTCACTTATATTTATGCTTTGTCTTATGCTAGGCCTTTCATTAATCAATTTTTAAGTAATATATATTTCATAATTCTTTTTTATGAAGTAATAAATTAAAAAGAAAAAATTATAATTTTTTTAACTAATAATTTAAAAGTTTTATAAGTAAATTTAAGGATATAATTTAATTTCTATAAATTGCAAAGAAAAGTACGAAGCCAACGTGGGACTACACATTAGTGCTTGTGTGCCAAATCGTGTTAGCCTATGTGCCACGCGTTGAGACTAACCCTTAATGGATCGAGTCGTACCAACCTAATGAGCCCGCAAGTATATGAGCCATGTCAGAAAAATAATTTGACTTTCACATATAAGTTAATGGCCCAAGTATGTGGTTTGCTTGGCATGGGTTTGAGTTATTTCAAAATCAGATTAATTTGGATTCAAAATCATTTTAATTTTTGGTTATTAACTTTTTATATCAATTTGAATTGGACCAAATCATATTCAGATTCGAATTAGCCTTGACAAATCAAAATGCAATCTTAGTAACAAATAACCTTTTCAAAAAACTTGAACTTGGGCACAAGTTTATTTAGTAAGGTAGGTGAGAGCTTAAATGAACCCTAGAAAATTTTCTGATGATGCACGAGTTATAAATTTTTTAAAAAATATATAAATTGATAATTTCGCTATATTAATTGAAATTAAAAATATTTTAAACATAATACATAGCAAAATTAGGAGGAGTAAATAAAGGAAAAATAAAACATTAAAAAATAGATATTAGATGCTTAACGTTCCCTTTCTAATTTCTCTTCTTTCTCCGTTATTCATTTTTCCTCTTTTATGCTTTCTTTATTAAATTTTAAAAATATTAAGTGATGGATCAACTACGTATAAATTATAGTTCATAGTCTTTTTATAAAACTATTTTAAATCATAATTTTTGTTAGAAAATATTTAGAAAAAAGAACTAGAAAATAATAAAGAATGGTGGAAATTTTCCACAACCTTTTTCACTCATAAAAGGTCCAAAATCTTTTTTTTTTTTACCAAAAGATCAAAATCCTTCACATATTTTAACTTTTACTCTCTATTTTTTACTTCGATTTTTTTTAATTTTTATAGAAGCAATTTGTAATTTTAAAAAGGTCAAAATTACTAAAACAATTTTATATATTTTATATCTTAAAATTATTTTAAAATGAAATTATCTGAAAGTTAAGAAAAAATAAGACAAATACGAATAATACAAAAAATCATATTTCTCTTTTTTATATTTTTTTCTTTTTTTTTATATCTTTATTTATTTTACTAATATAATCCAATATATTTTTACTCAAGGGAGAGCGCACACACACGTATATTTAGAAATAAAAAAACTAGCCTTAGGATTTCGGTTGACAAGGGAGAGCACACAAACATTTATACACCCTCATTACCAAGGCAGGGGACGCTGATCTTGCTTAAACCCTACTGATCCGAAGTGGGGAGCCGGATGTGCCCTACCTCGCTACTTTTGGATCGAGTGCGATCCGAAGTGGGGAGCCAGTTGATCCCATTCTTTCACCCCTCCTCTTCCTCTCCTCTATCCTCATCCCCTCAGTCGCATCTCTTTTCTTATCTCTCACTTCCCTTTCTCATGGAAACAAGTTGAAATTTCAAATAATTTCAACACAGAAACTGACATAGAAATACAAAACTAGCCTTAGGATTTTTTAACTCCCCTTGAACCCCGTAGGACTCAAAACTAAATTACATAGTAGTTTACTAGATTATGCAGTTTTTTGAGGTTTCCCTTTTTTTTTTTTTCTTTTATATCAAAGGAAAAGGAGGACAGTTTCATAAAGGGAGACTGAGATTTGTAAGTTCATCAACATAATGGACAGAGATTTATAATATTTACCTTTTTAAATTGAAAAAATGGCAAAATTTGAGAGCATATTACCTTTTCTATATATATATGTAATCAATCCGAAACAAGATGATCATATAAACTATTTAATTTGATTCGTGTTGCCTCTAACATATGAACAGATTGATAGATTATAGAAGGAAAAAAAAAAAAAGCTTAAAATAAATCAAGGTTCAGCCATAGCAAAAATCAATTAAAAGAAGGAAAAACATATATAAAAGCTGAACAATGAAACAAAGAAGAAAAGGTCAACGAAGAAGAAAGTGTTAACAATGAAAGCTGGGACTTTTCCTTTATAAGACATTAACAAACCTTGGGCCTTTTTCGCAATTTGAAGCATCTCTTCTTGATCGCTGGCGTAGGTTGCAAATGAGAGTCTGAAAATAAAGTCATTCTGTTTTGTGTGTTTGCCAAGTACTCTTCATCTCTTAAACCTTTAAAACTAATATATAGGAAAATTGAGCACTCTTATCTTCTAGGTCACTATTTTCCTAACATTCATACGATCCATTTGTAGAATACTGTATTTTTAATTTGTCTTTTTCTTGATTTAGTGACAAAAAAATTTTATAGAAGACATTAGAGTTTGAATTCGAACCAAGTCACCTTATCTCCCTTTCCATGTAACAGGGTTATGCCCTCTTTTAAACCAAAAAAAAAAAAAATCTTAATTTTAATAATCAAAATTCAAATTCTGAAAATTTCACACAACGATTGATTCTAACACAATTTTAAAGGGACTAATTATTAATAATATATATTATATATATTTTTTCATGCATATACTTTTAACAGTAATATAATTTAGAATTAACAATAAAATTACTAATTATACAATCTATTAGGAAAACTTTATTGATTCTTTTAGTAATTTAAATTTGAAATAAAAAAGAGGTATGAACAAATCAATTATTAAACATTTTATGAAAAAGGAAAACTTAATATGCTTTTAAAAGAATAAAGATGAAATTTTGAGACTATAGTTAAGATATTTTCTATCTTTTTGTAAAATAGTTTCAATTTTTTTTTTTGGAGATCTAATGTAAAAAATAAAAGTGACAAATATATGGAGAGGAGAGTTGCACTAAGCAAAAAAGAAAAGGAATCTAACAGTATGTTTGGATTGAATGGAGAGAAAGGATAAGAAAATAAAAAAATGTAAAGGAAACAAAACCCCATATTCCCTTGTTTGGATAAATTTTTAATTTAAAAAAAAAAAAAGAAAGAGGTGGAAACTAAATAACTTTTGGTTTTCCTTATAAATCCAATTTTTTTTAATACCCCAATTTGAGAAAAAAAACTAAGGAAAGGAAAGTTGATAATTTTTTTTTTTATATAAAAAGACTATTGTGTCCATCTTTTTATTAATACTAAAAGCCTAATAAAAAAATCTAAGTAGATCACAATCATCTTGTAATTTTTTCAAAGTCATCTCTTTTTTCAAGTAAGTTTTACATATCTCTTCCAACATAAAAATTTTTTATAATTTTTTGGTGATTTGATTTTGATGAATGGTAGAATATTAATAGATATATTTTTTGAGTTTATGAGATGTCAGATTAGTTCAAAATCCATCAATGCATGTTTGTAAAACATATTCCTATTTCACTTGATTAAAAACCATTAATATAGCAGCAATTGTGAGACCAGACAAGATAGTAAATATATCATTATCCATGAGTATTATAAAATCACAAGCAATGAAAGATCATAATTGAAAAAAATTATTATAATGAATCATTTCCTTTCTTTTTCATTCTTTATCCAAGCAATGGTTGTTAGAATTCATTTCATTTCCTTTCCTTTATTAGTTTTAATTATCCAAACAAAAGTTACATATATCTTTTTTTTTCCTTTAAAAAACTTTCTTTTCGTTTCCTTTCATTTCCTTTATTAATATTTATCCAAACATAGCATAAGACTTGGTACAAATTGTTCACCTATTTAATTACTTAGAAAGTAGATTCCTATAAATTGAGATTTAATCTTTGGTACTTACAATTTCTTGTTTCCTAAGTCGCTTAAATTTCAATCTCCTTGTAAAAAGAGGAAAAAATGGAAAAACACTTTTAGTATTTGGTTAAAAATTTGAATCTTATTGAGAAAGTTGAAAAGTTAATTTGGTTTTTGTTAAGTTTATGAGATTGTTATTTAAAACTTGTGCATGGGCATATTGCTAATGTATATATATTTATACTGAATACATTTAAATTGGCCCTCTAAATTAAAATGCTAATTTTATTATCTTTTATGATTTATAATTTAACTTTATGCTTTGCAATTTAATAAATGTTAAAATCATATTGATATTTATCCATTTATTATACCCTAATAATCATTACTTGCAAATTTTATTTTTTAAGTAAATTATTTGTGAATTTTTAAAATAAAGAGACTTGTTACAAGTTTCACATCACAACTATCAATTTCTTAAGAGAAGTAACACTTTATGCAGCCCAACAAAGGTGATATCACTGTGATGAATGCTCTTTCCCATTCAAATTTTTTTATTTGTAGTTAATAATATGTATGATAAATTTAATAAATCATAAATTATAATTGAGTTTATAATTTTTTAATAAAAGTAATGTTTAATAAAAATTTATCAATTAATTTGTGGATAATGTATACATTCATTTTCATAACTTATAAAACAAATCAAATCCATATTCACTCTTTCAAATTTATCTTTACTAACATACTTAAAATATTAAAATATATAATTAAAAAACTAAAAAATTAAAACTAAAAAAAAAAAAAAAGAAAGAGAGCCAAATAAGGGTGCTATGTGAATACCTAAAGTTAGATTAAAATTTTTTTATGAAAATATTATTTTTTTATATGAATTACATCTAATTATATATAAATATAATATTTTATTAAATTAAGGTAATAAATAGTAATTTTTTAAATAAAATACATATATAAATATAAAAGTAAATAAATAATAATAATAATATATATTCTTATATATAATGCTCAGGGGTGGGAAAGGGCAAATCGTCCTAAACTCCTCTCCAATCCAACCTTAATTTTCAAAAAAGGAAAATAGTTGTTCATCAACCTAATTTTGATTTTAAAGAATCATCCATGTTGGATCAATGGTTCGAAATCCATTGGATACTAGTTATTTTTGCCACTATGGCCTTCATTAATCCCATTTCCTAAAAAATTTATCTCATTAAAAAAAAAAAAGCAAAAAGCAAAAACAAATGAATGGGCTAAAAAGAAAATAACAAAAGAAATAAAAGCCAAATGAAGGTGCCATGGTGACACTTCAATTACCCATTTATCTTTTCAAATATAAATAAGAAATATTAAAATATATAATTAAAAGAAAAAAAGCCAAAAAAAAAAGGCAAAGTAAATAAAAAAAAAAAAGCCAAGTGGTGTGTCCATGGACACCTTAATTTAAGGATGATAACAAGTCGAGTTTGAGCAAGTATATGTTCATTCGAACTCTTGACCCTTTTTTCTTAATAATTTAATTCAATTTTGATTTCAAATCCGACATTGAGTTATATATATATATATAGCCAATCCCAACCCGACATATAAAATTATAACTTGTATCTGACTCGCGTTAATCCAAAATTAATCAAATGATTTAAATTTAGTATAATATTCATAAAATATTTTATGTAAATTATGTCTTATTTTTGTATAAATATAATATGAATTTATATTTAATGTACTGTTAGTGTTTAGATTTTATACATTGTCAGTGAATTTGATGATACCATCTCATTAATAAAATGAATCAGATGATGTACTTCATTAATGAGTAAATTTTTTAAAAATATTAATTTTCATATATTTATTTTAAGGGCTAATATTTGCTCATTAATGAGCTATCATCATTTGATTTACTCACAGTATATTAAATACAAACTCACATAATATTTTTATTAAATTAAGGTATTAAAACAATAATTTTATCAATATAATACATATATAACTAAAACAAGTAATAAAAAAAAATATTTTATATATACCCGGAATGGGGCGAAACACCCTAAACTTACCTTCGATCTTACCTCTATTTTTAAAAAAACTTGACATGATTTTATCAATATAATACATATATAACTAAAATAAGTAATAAAAAGTATATTTTATATATACCCGAAATGGAACAAAACACCCCAAACTTACCTTCGATCTTACCTCTATTTTAAAAGAAAAACTCGACATGATCGTGAATGTAAAAAAAAAAAAAATGCACCTATTAGATTGGATTCAACCTATTAGATATGAGTTGTTTTGTCATCCATATCTTTATTGACTAATTTTTTATAAAATTTAACTAATTAAAAATAGTTAAAAACAAAAAAAAAGAATGAAAAAAAAAACCACATTGAGTGTCATGTGAATTGTATTAATAACTTCCTTTTCTTACAAAATTTAATGTATAAATTAAAAAAAAAACGTAAAGGGAAAAGAAGAAAAAAATAAATATGGATACCATATCAATACATTCATTAGTATTTTTTTTACAAAATTATCTAATTTAAAAAATACAAAAAAAATTTAATAAAAAATATTAAATGGACCCAAAATTTTTTTAAAAAAATAAAAAAATAAGATTATTTATTAAGTATAAAAAAACAAATAAAGTAAAAAATCATTAAACATCGCACCTAAATAAGTAAAATTTATTATAAGGATATTAAAGGAGTTTAAAATTATTGGGGGCCAAAGGCACTCAGGGTCCAATTGGATGAGCGGTAAGAATGGCTCCTGTGAGATTGAAAATAACAATAAAAGTTATTGTAACTACGATTGAAAAAAATATATATATTGTAACTATGATTGAAAAAAATAATTTAATGAGAAATTTATGCTAAATGGAGATCACTAAAATTGACATTTAAATTCAACTGATGATGATTGAAGTTTAAATACACCTTACTAGAGGTGCAATTGCATCCAAACGCCCACTTAAGGTCCCATTACCAACGACCTTTGATCTTATATACCAAAAAAAGTATTTTTCTTGAATAAATTATCAAGTTACAAAACAGGTAAAAAATTAGTGACGAGACATGATACATGTCATTCCATTACCGTATGGAAAGGGAAAAAAACATTTTATAATGATTTTATGTATAAGTGGTATTGATTTTAGATTTTATAAATGAGATTAGATAGCTATGAACACAAAATATAATTTTCAAAAAATTTATAAGTATTTATACTTATTTCGCCTCTATCAATAATGATATGCAAAAGAAATTAAATTAAAATACCTTCAAGTTACAATGAAGCCTTATTTGAATCACTTAGCATTTATGAAATCATACCACTAAAAACCCTTTTATTAAGAGACAAAAATATCTTATCTTTAACAAGGTTTTTTGTAATATCAAAGAACTAGCTTTCTTATTAAAAAAAATGAGAGAAAAGAGAGAATGAAATATGAAATTTTGGATGTTTCAAATGAACCCATA